TCACTCGGTGTCCTGCTAGCGACACGCTCCTCGTAATGAGCTTCGTATACGGGCGAGGCTGATACCGAACGATCTCCGTAGACAAATAATGATCTCGTTGTCGTCGCATCTTCGTCCCTGGAATTCTTGATAAATCTGGGCGTTTACTAAATAACATAAAAATTCGGAAATTTCTTGTTATAAAAAATTATTTATGTTAACACATATGTACGTGAAACAAGAGAAACTCGTAGTTCGCATGATAAATTACGTGTAGATGCCGGATAAGCTTAAACAGGGACTAAACACGAATTTACGAGGTGTCGTGATACGTCAAATTTCAAATCGACAGGGTAAACCAGTGTTTTTGTTCGTAGATAAGATCGACATTAGTGCGTGGCACACGAACATTCTGTCGAGCAACGGAGTTGGGCATCATTCGAAGAAAATGTTCGAGCAACGTTTCGGATAAATGTTCCGACAAAATTGTTATTCGAACGACAATGTGAATAAATTTTTCGGACAAAATTTTCTCCGGATAACGATACGAACAAATTCTTCGAATAACGATTTGAATAAGTTCTACGAAGAAGATTGTGTTCGAATAATATTTCGCATAAATTCTACGAACGAATGAATTTAATAAGTAATCAAGTAATTGAGATCGATTTAACTATCCCGGGACAAAATCGACCTAGCCGACTCGCGAATACCTCGAATACCAGTGCCGCGAGCAGTGCGCCGATGAAACTCAATGTTTCTCGTTTCATTAAAAAGCCAGCGAAACAGCCGATCGATCGGCGGACGGCGTGTTTTTGTTGAGAGGAAATAGGTCTGTCGCGGGCATTGTTCACCCCGGGGCGTGCGTTAAATTGGCAGAAACGTGTATCGGGGTGTAATGCGTCGGCTCTTTCGATAGCAGAACTTCGTTGCCCCTCTTCTAATAAAAAGGGGAAGCGGATGACGTCATTCCCGTATCCATAACTCGGGCTGAGAGGATCCGGTGCTCGGCATCACGCTATCCTAACACGCGTTCTCATCGTGGAGCGTGGAAGAACATCGCTCGGACATGTTGGCCACGCGTGTCACGGATTTACGCCCCCGCATTACGAACGGAATCGTTCGCGAACGGTTACAGGCGTTTTTTTTTCTCCTTCGAGACGAAGTCTCGCAGCGATTAAAAATAATTGCTGTTTATTGTCCGGCTAATTAGAGTGGAACCTTGTCCCTACCGACCGGCCCGAGACGCTGCTCGAGTAATCGAGAGTTTTTTAATTGCCGCGAAAAAGAACATTGTTAATCCCAGAATTATCCGGAGTTCCGTCGCGGAATTTAATAACTTCCTCAATTCCTCGTTTCACTTCCTAATTGTCCCCCTGTCACGCTGCGACGTTCTCTTTGTAACGGCGACTATTCCGTTGGAATCTTCTAGACGATGAAAGAAAGAGATTATGCCGAGTAACAGGCCTGGGTGAAAACGTTTCAACGAAGAAATTCAAACATTTGCGGATACTGTTTCTCACGGCTGTGTTACATACGCTTCGTTTGAAACAGTAATTTATTTCTGTATTAAATGAGATACCGGTTGAAATGCTCGATTGATTTTATAAAGATATAATAAACATTTGAAACGTATAATATTTTATAACGCGAGCCTGAAATACTTCATTGAAATAAATATTTTCTTTATTGTGCATATCTCTTCTTCCATAGGTTTATTTTCTCTCATAAATGCGGATCGTGTAAGAAATAGAATTTCAAAGAATTAATAGAAATTTCGACACACGAAATTACATACTATTTCTTAAGAAAATACTACTTCAGTTAATAAATCTTCTTTACCGCAACATAAATAACTGTTTTCAATACACGCACTTATCTCTACGACGTTAAATCATCCTTTATCTTGTGTATTCTAATTACGTAGTTCGTTTCTTATCGTTTGTATCAGTTAGTTTCATTGAATAAAGTTCTACGCGTGTTCAAAGTACGGCACGCATCAGTTTCGGTGAAAAACCGCAGTCAGTAAAAATTGGAGACGCAGGAGCAACGGGCAGGTTTTCGCCTGTTTTTCGGCCGATACAAGTAATCGATGTTGGGACGCAGAAACTGGAACCATTTCCCCAATATCGGGGAACAACCTGCACTCTCCTGTTAACCATTAGTTGCGAACGCAATCGATATTCGACGCGCGTGTGTCGCAGGGGACACGAAGAAGTGGGGGATTCGAACAGCAAAAAAAGCATTTCTTAACAGTTCGATAGTAGGCCCGCATGCAATATCGATCAAGCCGGCTGGTAAATTGGACCAAGAACTGGGTGGTCGTTGTTGGTCAGGCGTGAAGGCGGGTTTCCCTTCTGATCGTGAGTCACTGTGCCCGTCGACCCAAAACTCTGGTTTGCTGCTCGACAGAGATCGACATATCTTATTCGAATAACGAATGCAATTTTATTTAGATTTTATTTCATAGAATTTATTCGAAATATCATTCGAATAAAATTATATTCGAAATATTATTCGAATAAAATTGTATTCGAAATATCGTTCGAATAAAATTGCATTTGAAATATCGTTCGAATAAAATTGCATTCGAAATATCGTTCGAATAAAATTGCATTCGAAATATCGTTCGAATAAAATTGTATTCGAAATATCGTTCGAATAAAATTGTATTCGAAATATCGTTCGAATAAAATGGTATTCGAAATATTGTTCGAATAAAATTGTATTCGAAATATCGTTCGAATAAAATTGTATTCGAAATATTATACGAATAAAATTGTATTTGATGATTTTAATCGAATACAAAGAAAATTTTATTCGAAGAATTTATTCGATTCGTTATTCAAAAGAAACTTTATTCGAAGAATTTATTCAAATCGTTATTCGAAGAATTTATTCAAATCGTTATTCGAAGAATTTATTCGGATACAATTTTATTGAAAATGTTGTTCGGGTAGAATTTGTTCTTATTTCTGTATCGTGAAAAAATTGACCTAAAGGGTCACACAGAATCGAAGGATTTCCTCGATTTAGCGAGGAGGTCAGGAGGTTCTCGGGCATGAAATTTAATGAACTTTTCGTTCGGCAATTGTAACTAACCGCTAATGAGAGCCGGGTGTTCTCAAGGGCGTGCGTGTCCGTACACTTCGGACGTCTTCTTGGCGCAGTAACCCGGGTACAGATGTTTTAGCGAAGTGACTTTCACTTACGGTGCGCAGAGGAATTCCGGGTAATGAACTTGCAATACAAAGATTAAGAGATCGCTTCTGTAACAGTATACTCTCAAAACAGAATCCTTGTAACGCCTCGAAAGCAAAAGCGTTTGGATACGCTGTTGTCGCGGGCACGTACGTTCGACAAAGTTCTGAATCATAGCAACACGTTTGTTCCAGAAATTGTATTTCCGTAAACCGGCTAATCTATTTCTGGTTTCTCGCAGTTACGAACAATGGACTTTGCCTTATAAAGTTGATGCGTTGGGTTTTGAACCGCGAAATCACAAGGAACAGCACCTAGAAATATATCTGGTAGATTTATCAATGCAATATTTATTATTTATTTAATTCTTTATTCCGTAGCTTTCGACTTTGAAAGTCTTCCGGTTACATCGAGTCTTTATCCTAAACTTCTTACATAACTCTACTACGTCGTATCGCTTAAAGTAGTTTAAATATATGTTTTATAATCATTTCTCTCGCACAGCTTAATCGCAACAGAAATATACGAATGCAATATGAATGCAATTTGTATAATCATAATAATATTACAACAATTAATGAGAAATAGAAATAACTACTTTCTTGCAAGTTGTAATCCGAAAATTTGTCAGAAACATTTTTGTATCGTAAATCTTAAGTTTTATTCTTGAATAATAGATCCTATACTAGTTAGTTTAAAACTATGTCAATAACAGAACTGCTTAATGAAATAATTCTTTATTGTAGAAATTAGATTATTTCAATACTCGAATATCATACTATAAATTATATTTTATTTATATTAATATATTTATATATTTATATTCTATTTTATTTTTAACTTCTGTAATATTCTTATAATTAGCAGCTTGGCCTGACATTTGCATTCTGTTTCGCTGTTGATTACGTGCTTCATTATCGTACCCATAACTCGATAATATTACGTAAAATATAATAACTGTGCAGAGACACGAACTGGACAACAGTTACTCATCACGAATGAAAATGCATTCGCGCGGAACCTCTTTAAATCATTGTTCTCGCGACATTTTTCTGCGTGTGCACGAAACACGAGCAGAACGCCGCGCGCTATAAATACTTGATGGGAAGATGTGCCCGATGCTCTTGCTAACGCGTACCCATCGGTATAATTTATTCAACCTGTTGTTAGTAACCTCAACGACTCATATCCTTCCTCTATCGGTGACCTAAATATAGAGGGATGAGCTACCTGAGCGTAGTTCATCGACACGACGACGCGTGATCGTAAAGAGATTATGTCACCGATGAATAAATCGCCGGTTATTTTAAAAAGTGCAATTGAACACGTTCATTCTTACATTTATTTTCGTCGAAAAAATATTCGACAAATAAACAAAATTTATTATCGATAAAACGAAATGATATCAATGAACAAAAAATATTGAAATGAATTATTATTGACAAAAGGTTGTGACATTCATTGATTACGTTGACATCGTTTTAATAAATTCATGCGTGGATATATTTGCAAGAGACTGTTCTTTGCTAGGCAAATAATGAATGAAACAACGAATTTAATATTAAATTAATATAATAGTAAAAATAATAATAAATTGAAGGTAGTAAAAGTAATAATAAATTAAGAGTAGGTAGTAAATGTAATAATAAATTAAAAGTAGGTAGTAAATGTACTAATAAATTAAAAGTAGGTAATGAATGTAATAATAAATTACAAATAGGTAGTAAAAGGAATAATAAATTCAAGCTGATAAAAGTAATAATAAATTCAAGCTAATAAAAGTGAGAATAAATTGAAAGCAATAAAATTAATAACACATATTCTGTTTCCCCGTTATCGTGCATTTTTCTAAAAGTCGCATATCTAATTATCGTAAGAGAATTTCGCGAAGCTCTTATTCGATCGCATATTCATGTCTTCCGCGAGGCTAAGAAGAAACCTTCCTCGAGCATCGCGTGACTACCGGCAGACATCGCGCGATTTCAAAGCATAAACGGCACCGTTTATAGAGCTGTCGTGGCTCCGAATTGGGAACACGGAGACAGAACTGGTGCATGTCATAACAAACTTTCTTTTAAGTCACTATCGTTCTGTCAAAACGTTGCTACCTACTGATCATAGTATGTATGTATTGGCTAAGTTTGTAACATCGTATCGAACATAAATCTTGAAGTTAAGTGAAACCGATCACGATCCGTCAACTCGTCACGCGAACCTAGTTCCCGGCGATTTTCGTTCGAACTTTGTTACCGACAGCACAATTATAAGTAAAACCGTCTAACAACATTAGGACGTTGTTGTATTATGAGCAGCTTAACTTGTACAACTTCGTGCCACGATTTCTTTAAAAAATAATTGTTTTTCCTTTATGTTATTTATTTATCAAGATCGCATCAACAGCTAGATCATCAGTATACTGCGGATATTTATGCATAATAAGAATATGCTACGTCAATTCTAAGAAACAGTGGTTAAATAAAAATCTATTTCTTCTTTTAATTAGCTCGATGAAGTTGGAAATGATGTAGCAATTTTGTTCAATTCTTCAGATATCTTCGCCGCTCGGTTTTTATATTTTATATTATATTTATATTTTATTATATAAATCTCTCGGGTTTAAAAAATGTAAGAACGTGAACAATATTTTTGTTTATATTCAGACATTCCGTTAGAGTACCAGGTAGATTTTTAAAAATAATCGAATGCTTGCAGAAACATCGTCTTCCTTTGAATGCTTCTTAATTGGACCAACAATGTGAAACCTTTTTCGTAGCCTAATATTACCAACAAAAATTTCTCTATCTCGCCAACAATCGCAGTTGTCATTTAAACTGAAAATGCTCGCAGGATCAGCCTTCAATGGCAAGATCGAAGCAGTTGTCTTTATTCCCGAGGAACAAATCGCAAACAAATCTGTCTTTCTCCGCTCGTCAACATCTCGTCCGAATCGAGCCTTGAAACCTTTCATAGCGCACAATACTAACTCATCGTAAGCGCTGACAGATTCAACGGCGATCACGTTTCGAGATTAAATTCTGCAGATACAAGAGAGAAGCAGCAGCGTATTACGATATCCGAGGCGTCCGTCTGAAATGTGCTCGATTATCAACGCCGCGGTGGATCTCCTAAATAAGGCCGACGGAACGCCGCGTGTGGATGCCGGTCGAGGGTCGAGTGCGGCTTCTGTGAATGTCGGAAACGGCGTTTTATCGAGCCGAGGAGGCCCGGTCGGGTATCGTTATCGGGCAACGAGGCGGAATCGTCGCCAGGTTAGCAGCAAACGACGACGACGACGACGACGACGACGTGTTCTGTGTGTCCTCCTCTCGTCGGTTATTGCCTCCACGGCGCTCGCTCGCTCGTGACTGCAACGTGAAATATTTAACGAACGGGAAATTTAGGTCGTGGTACTGCGCCAACTTACGTGCACGTGCTACTTGGCCAGGTAATCCGGGACACACCGTGTTTCCCAGCGGTTCCGGCGAAACGGCGTTCACCTCGTTCCCTCGCTCAGATTCACCCGCGAACAGACATTTTTACTGGCCGCCGCACGTGCCTCCCTCCGGCCGCGGACTTCTTTTTCTTTGAGCCTCGCCGAACAAAGCTCCACCTGAAAAATATTTCGTCCAATCCAATTTGGGCGCTCTTCGAAGCCACGCAACGTCTGGCTGACCTATTTCACAAACCGCCGTATTATCGGGGATCGTCGGTGCTGCGCACGAATACTTGGGACACGCTCTGGAATCGGCTTTGATTTTTATTTTATTACAAGCAGTCTTTTTTTTTATCGCGACTGCTGGGAATAGGGTGAATTTGGTCGAGCTACTCTTTCTTCGAAAATTCGATTTATTTGTTTTCCACGGATCTTTCATGCGGGCCTGGGTAAAAATATTTCAACTAAGAGGCATACAAATATTTGCAAATAATATTTCTTTTAACTGTGTCGCGTATGCTGCATTTGAAATAGTAGTTTGTTTCTGTATTGAATGAAATTCTAATTCACATATTTAACACGTTGGCTGCCGTGGGGGTCACCGGTGACCGGCACTCGACTTGGCTACAGCGCCGTGGGGGCCACCGGTGACCGGCGACGCGACGAATAGTTAAAATACATAATTAGGGTAAACATCGATACGCATAAATTTTTAAATAATATAATATTATAATAATTGTAATTTATTACAATGCGCCACGAAAAATGCATAAAACAAGTTTATACAACTAAACTTATCTGCTGTAAATAATATTTCAACATAATATGCATCGCATAATGAAAAATTCATGTTGGCGCCTTGGGCAAGTCACGTAAAATTCGCGCGGCAGCCAACGTGTTAA